CACACCCCTCGGCCATGTTGCCCGAGACCACGCATGCGCGGCCTACCCGCCTGCGTCGTGCTACTCGGTCGCATGATGCCCGAGACCACGCCCGCGTCGTGCTACTCGGTCGCATGATGCCCGAGACCACGCCTGCGCGGTCTGCCCACCTACGTCATGCTAATCGGTCGCATGATGCCCGAGACCACACCTGCGCGGCCAGCCAGCCTGTGTCGTGCTCCTCGGCTCCATGCTCTCGAGACACACCTGCGCGGCCAGCCCGCCTGCGTCGTGCTCCTCGACTCCATGCTCTCGAGACACACCTGCGCGGCCAGCCCGCCTGCGTCGTGCTCCTCGGCTCCATGCTCCCGAGACACACCTGCGCGGCCAGCCCGCCAGCGTCGTGCTCCTTGGCTCCATGCTCCCGAGACACACCTGCGCGGCTAGCCCGCCAGCGTCGTGCTTCTCGGCTCCTCGGCTTCATGCTCCCGAGACACACCTGCACGGCCAGCCCGCTTGCATCGTGCATCTCAACTCCATGTCCCGAGACACACCTATGCAGCCAACCCGCTTGCGTCGTGCTCCTCGACTACACGTCCCCCGAGACACACCTGCGCGGCCAGCCCGCTTGCGTCGTGCTCCTCGGCTCCATGCGCCTCGAGACACACCTGTGCGGCCAGCCCGCCTACGTCGTGCTCCTCAGCCCCATGCCCCGCGACACACCTGCGCGGCCAGCCCGCCTGCGTCGTGCTCCTCGGCTACATGCCCTCCCGAGACCGCGCTTGCGCGGCCAGCCCGTCTGAAAGCTGAAGCCATGCCTCGGACTCTCGTTACAACGACCGACGCATAGCTTCTTTCCGGGGGGGGAATATGATGCGGATAGTAATTACGATAAGACTCGGCTGACGTCAGTCGACGCCTCACGCCTCGATCGGCACGACAGCACCTGGTCAATGCAGACCGGAACACCGATCAAGGCACATTAAACACCCTACTCAAGCTTCGTTCTTCACGCCACACCAACCCAAGCGTCAGACGCTACCAGCCTGCCCCCTGCAAGCAGGCAGCTCAGGAAGCAGTAAACTTCCCTATAAATATCCTCTCGTTCACTAGAGGAGGGGGAGAGACACAAAACACTTCTTCTTCTGAAACCCCCTCCACTATCAACTAACTTGATCGTCGGAGGGGTCGGGCCGAGCACCCCGACCCGACCTTTGTGCAGGTGCGAAGCCGAGGGTCCCTATCGGACGCGCGAACGAGAAGTTCCTCCCCGGAGAAAACGACGACCCCGTCCCGATCGGACCATCGCACCAGACCGACCCCGCGGGCTCGAGGAACGCCCCGGAGAGATCCTCGTTGTCCGGACCCGAACCGAGCCGCATCGGCCCCGAGGCCACGGCCCCAGGTTATTTACACCAACAACTAGATAATCATTTTATTTCTCATTCTACATATAACAACTTAAACCTCTAATATATATATATATATGGATAAAATTGAAGAAAAACAAAATTTGAATATAAAAGCTACGAGACATATCTCAAGACACTTAGGAAGTTGGTCGTGTTAATGCAAAAACAAGCTAATGAAGTCCATAAAATTATACCAAAGCAATTTGAAAAATATTTACGTAAACGATATAAATATGTGATCTACAAACTTATTCCAATAAAACAGTATACGCACCATCTCTATAAAATTAAAAGACACATGGAGAAGAGAAATTAAAGGAAGATAAAAAAAGTGAACCCAGAAGGATTTGTAAATCTTTTCTATAACGAAAGACCAAGTGAAGACCCTAATTTTTTTAGGGAATTTATTTGATATTTTTATGAATTATTCATATTGTGAAATTTGTGTCATTTTTTTATTTTTAGATAATTTTTTTTCTCATTTTCATATAAATATGATGGATCAATGTAATATTTTTTGACATTTGAGATTTTAAATTAGTCCAAAATATATGGTAAAAAATCAAGCTAAAGAAAATAATTCATAATATATGATGCATTGTTTTTGCCTAATATCTAAAAAATAGAGCATGACATAGAAGGATTGGTCCAATATACCTAAAAATTTTGGGAAAGATTTATATTAGACTCAAATATACATATGTTATTGGTTTTTTTTAAGGTATTTTTTTTGTTGATATTTTTATGAATTATTCAGCTTGTGAACTTTATGTTATTTTTAGCTTGTTTTTCCATTTGCACAAAAAATCACGAAGCCATATATATAT